AGAAACCAAGGTTATCTACCGTATCTACCAAGTATACTTTAGCCTTGTCGTATTGTTTTAGTCCATAATGGCAGAAACCAAGGTTATTTAGCGTAGTAGCCAGTTGTGAATCATTTTCATTGTCTCCTTTCTCACGAATGGACAGTGCTCTTTCCAGGTATGCTTTGGCCTTGTCGTATTCTTTTAATTCGATGAGACACGAACCTAGGCTATTTAGCATCAGCTGTGTATTATTTTGATCATTTCCAGTTTCGTAAATCGTTAGTGCTTTTTCAAAGTACCTTTTTGATGTTTCGTTTTCTCTTAATTTCCTTAATGAAACTCCAATGTTTCGTAGTGTAATGGCCTTGTATGGATGATTTTTATGATATACACTTTCTGTTAATCTTAGAGCTTCTTTATAGAAAGTTGTCGCTTTTTTTTCATCTTTAAAGTTTGATAAACAAACCCCGAGGTCATTAATGGTGTCAGCTACCCGTACATATTCGCTGTCACGCAGTTGTTGCTCGATCTCAAGTGCTCTTTCACAATACGTCTTGGCTTTTTCAAATTCTCCATGACTTTGAAGACTTATAACCAGGATGATTAAGATATCAGCCAAGAGGGTGTTGTTTTCACCCTGACATTTTTCTTGCATCGCCAGGGCTCTCTGTAAATATGCTTCTGCTTTTTCGTGTTGCCCAAGATGCATCAGGCAGACACCCAGGTTCTTTAACGTAATAGCCAGTTCCGGATGATCTCCTCTGTGCAACTTCTCTTCGATCACCAGTGCTTCCTCAAGATGTATTTGTGCTTTTTTGTAATTCTCTAGATCAATATATAAGTCACTCAGACGTTTTAATGTAGTGGCCAAGGCAATGCTTACATCACCACTACTCAGTTTCCCCTCAAAATGGCTTTCCTTATCTTTGTGCGATTTACTCATTACTGCGATATCTGAGTTGAAGTTTTGGTCTTGAGCCATTTCTGGACCACTATGGTATGAACGTTGTTGGATTGACAGACATATTTCTAGGAATATCTCAGAGGCCCCGTAACTTCCCTGCACAAGGCAGATACTTCCTGCTTTGAATAAACAGTCAGCGGCATTGAGAGATTTTGCTGGTAAGGTGGAATGATCCAATAGACGCAGGTTAAGTTTCCTTGATAAAACCACAAAATGTGTCGTAAACGATCGTGTGGCAATGATTTCTGCCTTGGTTACATCGTAAACGTTTTTAAAAGAAACGAGATCTGAAAACACTGACATCAGTTTTGAAATATCCGTTTTATCATCGTCCAACAATTTCTGCAGGCCATGGTAAACCACTTGATGCACACGAATTACTTGTGAAATTTCTACATCTTCAGATAAAATGACCAGCGAACTCAAACTAATATGAGCAGCAACAGCGTCTTGGTCTTTATCAGGCATACAGCTCATTACATATTGCACAACATATTTCAATGGTATTGGTTCATTAGCTATGACTGACAGGAACTGAAAAGCATGCATCATAATCTTGTCTTCAATTACTACCCTCTCAAGAGCAAGCCTGACAGCAGCTGTCATTGATAATTCATACGTCGAACTGGTCTGTTTGTAAGAATCTTCGGTTGCCTCACGCTTTCCTTCTTGTAGTTTGAGCAAATAGTTCTCCCATTTGGTTTTAGGTTGGTCTGTAGAGTTGAATATTCGCTGCACGTAAATAGCTGCACATGCCAAAGCAAGCGGTTGGAAATCAAGAGCACTGGCAATGTTAAGTAAAGTGTCTCGATCACCAGTAGTACCAGAGATTTGGGAAAGTAATGCGATGGTGTCTTCTTTTTGCATCCCTACCTTAAGAGATGAATAATGATATGTATAAGAGTCAAGTGGAATGGATTGACTGTCTTGAGTAGTGACGAGGATTTGACCATCACCACTTGTCTTTTCTCCTGCTTGAGGCAAGTAATTTGAAACTGATTTCAAATCATTTACGTTGTCTACAATGATCAGCCACGATGAATAAATCTGCACTTTTGGATTGATAACACTTTTAATATTTTTGATTTTCTCTTCTGGACGGAGGTCGTTTGATGTCGCAATTCTTGTAACAGAGTCTTCGTCACAGCCGAGTCTGGCAGCAAAATCCACGTACGATCCAAGAAGCGTGTCGATGTTGGATGCGTTGAAGGTGAATACAAACTTAAGATGAGTTGTATCTTCAGGGATTTCGTTAAAGTAGCTATTTCCAATCTGCCTGGCAATCTCACTCTTTCCACATCCGGGGTTACCAGACAAGTAGATCACCGTCGTCTCACTTTTCTTTGTGCTTCTCAACTTTTCCATCTCGTGGTTTATTGTCGTGACTTCATCTGCGCGATCAGTGGTATGATGGGAAGGTTTGGGTGGTAAGACACAGAAGGAATGAAATTTGACATAAAGTTTTCTCTCATTATTTAGCTGTTGTTGAATACTACTTAGTTCCTCTGTCGGAAAACCTTTCTGGGTTTTCACTTCATTCACCTTCGTCGTATCCAGCCCCAACGCCTTAAAGGCAGCCAAGACTTTCAGCATGGTGTCTTCAAAATCCACGTCTGTAAGCTTTCCAACAGGAGTGTGGGCAAAAGCTTTATTGCGGATTTTTCTCAGTTCGTTAACGTTTGTCCATACTGTGGTCACATTTAGATATGATCCGAGACAATCTGAGAAAAGAAGAGCATAAAAGAGACAAGTGCAGTCCCATTCTTTAGTGTTACCGTTTGCCATAATAGTGAGAAGGCTTGCATTACGTCTCTGATTTCTAGGTGATTCCATGTTGCAGAAATCGGTTGCATTTTTGGGTACATCAAGCCATTCGCCGTACGTAGGCTTGTAACGCGCGTTCCATTGTTGCTTGAAAACTGTTCGCATTCCCTCGGGTACATTATGAGTGAAGACGTAACATAGACGGAAGTAGTTGAGATCCTCATCTGTATATTCCGTGGTCTCCATCTGAAATGTGCAAAGATTTCAAATATCAATAATAGCATGAGGAAGCTTGTTTTTTTTCGTTACCAAGGACGCACAAGCACACTGTCGATCCAAGTTTTCGCGTATCTTCTAATTAAGAATGTGTATCTTTTAAGGTGACTGCTACCTAACTAGCAGAGATCCCTGGATAATATCCCTAGCCTATCATCTAGTTAAGCATGTGTGTCTTTTAAGGTGACTGCTACCCTACTAGCATAGATCCCTGGATAATATCCCTAGCCTATCATCTAGTTAAGCATGTGTGTCTTTTAAGGTGACGGCTACCTTACTAGCAGAGATCCCTGGATAATATCCCTAGCCTATCATCTAGTTAAGCATGTGTATCGTTGAAGGTGACTGCTACCTTACTAGCAGAGATCCC